AACATAAACACATAAATGTACATAAACATCAACAGATTCAACACATATATAATGATACTGTGTTGGATACTTCTGTTTTGCACACAGTAATTTAGCTTTAATCTCTTACATGGCACACCATGTTACATGTTGAGTATGACTTGTTTATGATGTGTTTTGGATAGTTTACTATCCTGAGAGCACCTGATACTTATTTAATGTCTGCATTTACATCTGCAAGATGTGTTGCTCATCTGCAATGTCTCTAAGACGTTTCCTATTGGTTGTTAAACAGATGTTTAGAAAATGTCTAGAATATGTTATCTTACTCTTATCAGAGACGTACCGGTGCAATCTGGGTAATAGCTTTCTGCAATAATGATTTATGTTTATGTTTTTATGCCAAAAATAATGTAAAATTACAGTATTTTGGAAAGGTTTATGGAGCCAGAAATATGACAAAACAATCTAAACTGTGTAAATCTGAATTATTGTGTTATTTAATAAAACTGAATATTACGTAGCATTTTATAGTTTTGAATTACATTTTTTTTAATGGTTTAGTTTAATTACTTTGAATAATTTAATTATATTTGTGCACACACACCAGACATAGATCAAAAACATTGACAAATTTGGCTGAATTCTGAAAGCCAGAAGTGGTAAATAAAAAGCCATTTGGGAACCGAAAGAGCCGGTGTTCTGATGATTTGTGCGACCCTGTCAGATTTTGCTACCTCCCATTAAAACAGTGGGTAGTACAATTCGACAACGAAAAATGCTACCTGTAAAATTATGGTTTATTAACGTCTGCACCTACCACAACCTTTCTTACCCTTACAGTAATGCAAATACAGTAATTATGTGTTATATTCGAGGTTGTAGCTAGAAGGGATACAGCTACAGGAAACCAACAATAAATAATGTTTTCTACCTATTAGATTGTGTTTTATTAAAGTCTACACCTACCCCAACCCTTAACCTACCCTTACAGTAATGCAGATACATTAAATATTGTTGTTCAGCGTGAGAAAATGAATGCAATATTGAAGTGCGCATGCGCAGTAAACCCTGATAGGACAATCTGACGGGTAGGATAAAATGTCAGGACACCTGTTCTTTTTGCTGAGCTGATCCAGATCCCTAAAAAGAGCCGAAATTCCCATCACTACCAGGAACTGAGTCTGACACCCCTGATATATGCGGTGTGTGCCGCACAAGTCTTGAAAAGTGAAGCCGATGTTTAGATCGCCCCCAGGTGGCTGATCCCAGTATAGGTCATAC